TTACAACAGCTCAGAGCAGAAGGATAGTGCGTCTTGAATATTCACTACTTTTAACCACATTTTGCTACTGGTATAGGTGCGTGAAGGGACACCATGTGTTCTGCTAGTAGTTGCCTTTTTCTTCACAAGAAGTAAAAACTAAATTTGAACTCGAGTAATTGCAGTAGCATTTCAAGTGGATTCTGCAAGTCGTGGCGAAACCGTTTCAAATTGAATTTATCACACAGAAAATAAGTGCTCTACTCTAATGAAATACGATATTTGTGATATATCCTAAATTAGATGGTCCTTGTCCAGTTCTGATATTTTTCGAGCTCAGCTATTATTGTCTAAAATTTGAAATTCCCTTGTCAATTCTACAGCATTCTGATTTCATCAATAAACTTAAATGTATGTAAGAATGTGTTTATTAGATCTGTTATTTTTCCTCATATATTCCCACGAGTACTAACCTTGACATTTTTAACATTCACATTAATAATATATAGCATTTTTGTTTGCTTCTAAAACTATCTAAAACAAATATATTTGAAAATTTCCAGGTTTTACTTCAATTCAAACTGCGTGCCCAGTATTTTAACTCCCTTGTTGAAGTATTTGAGTACAGCATCTTCAACTGTTTCATGTAAGATTTAATTTGTTATTCTCCAAAACCTCAAATCTTCAGTTTAAAGAATGGGATTCTTTTCTTCGTTTAATAAGCTGCTTAGTATAAATGTATTTCTAGGGAGGGGCAAATTGGATTATTTGGGTATCTACCATTATGGCAGTAGCTGAAAAATGTCTATATGTTTATACCAATTTAATGGTGTATGGGCCATTATCAATAGATTCTGTTCATTTTCTTTCTTCTTCCAATTGTAATATTTCTAAAAAAGAATTAAAATAAAACTTAAAACCAAACACTAACAAAAATGTATTAACACCAATGTGTTCCTCAAACTGATAACTTGAATAAAGAGACGGTCTTGAAGAGAGGGACTATCTTATGTGCAACAGAAGCCAGTTAGTTTTAGAGGTTCATACCATCTTTTTCACGTGTTTAGAAGTTTTTACATACTTTATTTTAGATAAATTGCATCTAAGTGCTAAATAGACCAAGCAGATGGAGGTGTTGAAAAGTTACTTGTCCACTGTTAATCTCACAAAGCATTAAATATAACTGGGATTACCCATTGAGTAAGATAAATTAAGTATTTTGTTGTGCTTCCAAGGACAAGGCAGCTTGCCAACTGTGTTTCACTTTGTCTAATGGGGTGATGACATTTTTGTTGTAAAAAAACAGAGAACGACGGAACAAAAATAAAATACATTGGAAGTCATGACTTTTGTTCAATTATATTTTTGAAATTATGTAAAAAACAAACAAACAAACAACTGATCCAAGTTTTTTTTTGTATTATATGCAATAATAAGACAAAGATGGAACATCTGTAAAATAACCACAATTTGCTAAATTGTGTCTAAATAACAAAGTGTCACCTATTAGAATATGCACTGGTTAATCCTTGCCAGGTTGTGATTTGCAAGAATTAAGATAAATAGAGACTAAAATTAAAGGTTGCGGGTTATTCTGAAAGCTACAAAATATGCAGACAAATTGCTCGGTTTGTTTATAGAAAGCTGACCAGGAAAAAAATGAATCCAAACCAGCTAAAATCTAGCTTGCCCTTTTATCACTTGTCCTCAACTTATTCGTGTCATTTAGATTCAGGTTGGTTGAAAATATGCCAAATTGCTATGGAAATTGTACTAATTAATTATTGAAATTGTTCCACATATCTGTCAAGCAAAACAAATGTATAATATCAAATCAAGTATCAAAGCACTGTGGCATAGTGTTGGTCTTAACATGATATGGCCATATGCATATGGTGTAACTGAATATTTACTTTCTGAGATAAGTGATTTTAAGTAGCCTAGTAAAATGTAAAACTGTATTTGTGTGCACACACTGTTCCTTAATCTGTATTTTGTATAACTTTTGGTCTTATCAGCAGGACCACTGCTGAGAAATGCAAGTTCTGGGTCTGCCCCAAATTTCTCTTTTTTTTTCTAAGTAGCAAAGCTTGTCAGTGCCAGCTAGGTCTCTTCCTCCCTTGATGTCACACTGATGGGGAAACCTAATGCGCATGCACGGCATACACTATGTGTGTATTAAACTTCCCCTAGGAATCTGCATGTATAATGTTTCTGCTTGAAGTGATGCATATACAGAGAAATATATACTTTTGTACTGGAGTCTAGTTACACCCCAGGCACACGTGACTTAGACATCCAAGAACTCTGTTTCATGCTGCATAATATTAAATATGTGCAGAATTTACATTTGGCAACATAAATTTTCACAACTAGAAAATTGCCTGCAAGGGAAAGCTTTGACCTCCCCTTCCTCCTTCCCTTGGTGTGCGCTCTCTCTACCTCTCCCCGCCTCTGTGTATTCTTTTTTTACTTCCCCCTCCATCTGTCCTTTGTCCACGCCTCCTTCTTCCCTTCCCTGGCTCTGCAGGTCATACCAGTCTAATCAAATGCTTCTCCAGGAGAAGCATTTGATTAAACCATGGAGAGGGAAGGAGTGACGTTGGACAGGGCATGGTGACCAGCGATTGGAGCTTCAGGTTAGTTTATGCTACTTTTCAATTGTTTTTATTCAAATAAAGGGGACAGCATGTCACTAATGCTTGATAGGGCATTTTCATAAAAAATAATAATAATTTAAAGGGGTTAAAGTAGGTGTAATCGCTATAGAAAAGTATAAAGTGTCTCTCAACATTTAGCATTATGTAACCAAAATAGCACAGATTTTGCCTTGGTAAAGACTAATGGAGCTGAAACCTTAGACCATTTCAATGTAATAGGCACAAAAATAAATCAGAAAAAAAGTCCATTAAATCCTATCTACTTTCATATGTCAACTATTCACAGTACTAGTGGTAGGATGTTTCTGAATGAAAAGATATCCTGTGGAGATCCGCACACCAGAGACAACACACATCTATGTGGGAAAAATAAAATGTGTGTGTGTTTACAGATGGACCTTAGGATTTAGTTTTAATTTTGTTTAGTTTTTTTATTAAATGTTAATTATGCCTGCCTGTAAATGTTGTATATACCATTAGAATTGAAAACAGAAATGGGGGGCAGGGCCGGGCCGCCGAGCTGAAAGGCAGCAGAACACCATGGCTCCTGGCCTGAGCCCGGGAAAACTGCAATAAATCCACACTCAGACCACCCCAAAGCAGAAATAAGCTACATATAATTAACAAGAAACATTTAAGCTTCATGGGGATACCAAACCAAGGCCGGTTTTGGGCCGGGAACACCGAAATTAACGAAGCGGCCTACTCGTCATCATAAGCCTGGATGATGGCAGCCCCTGAAGATGCACAGATAACTGACCAGCAGCCCAGAGATAACGGTATACCAGCTATAAGGCCTACATGGGGGCCACACAGTGGCGGATGACGGCCCTGCTCCGTGCCGACCACCTGATTGGGTAAAGGATGCCAGACAAGAGCCCGTCCGAAGACTCACTCTAGGCATCAAGGGGGTCAGACATGGGTGGCTCACACGGGCCCTGGTAAGGCTGAGCACTGGACGGATCCTCCATGCTGTGTCACTGACCCAAGCCTCTGGGTTTGTGGGGTCCCCGGAGAGACCTTTCCCCGAAGCCGTGAGCCCTGTGGGGTGGGACCGCGCTACCCCCCCGATGGACCGGTGGTCGTGGGGGATGGGCACCGACTCCAAATGTGTGGCCGGCACCGGGTGAGACATTGGAACGCACACTTCAAGGGACTCAAGTGGAGCTGGGGAGGTGCAGGGAGCGGGCAACCAGCGGACTTTGTGGGGGGGTACAACGGACAGTTTGCGCTCCTGAGTGCCCACGGTGCCACGGGGGACCCGACCGGTGAGCGGAGATCGGCATGGGGAGGACGGAAGGAGGCCTGGCTACCCAGGGACGGTGTGGTAGTAGTGCCATGAGAGACACCCCTCAGACGGCCATGTAGACTAACATGGCCACCCTGCAGTTTATAGTTCACATTTTTCGTTTTATGTTTGCATCTACTTTATTAGCATATATATCCATGTGCTTAAAGAATTTAGGGAACGCTAGGTCGCTCAGTTAAGCTTATGCACTACTGTTAGTTGCCCTTAAATAATAAGCATTCTTTAATTCCATAAGTCAGAATTATAATAGACTAGGCGGTTATAACGTACATAATGTAATGTGTTTGTTTATATGCTCTTTTCGGTCATAAATATGCAAGGTAATATAGATTGCGGAGCATCTGACTAGGCAGCAAGGACTTAACATTATGTTTTTAATTTACTACCATAAGCTTTTTTTATTCGCATATTATTACATTAACGAGTCGCATAGTTAAGGGTCAAACAGCCCACAGATTTAGATGACTGCTAGCAGTAAACGACAGAGTACAAAACAGTCTGCCTGTTCCACAGATAGATAGCCATCCGAGCACAGTTCCCAATCCAGTTCCATACACTAGTGCACACACGCAAAGCTAAACATTTAAACGGTGGCTGTACACCGAGGTACAGCGCCTCTGTGTGGGCTAACTTTAAATTCTTGCCCCTATGTGCATAACGACTGCCTCTCATCATACGGAAATAATTGCACACTTTATATGATTTAATTTTTACATAGACATGCTGCAATTATTACCTGAGCTTCCCGAATGTAAAGAACTATGTTCACAGCCTGCACCGACATTGCTTTTATGACCTTAGGGCGACACTGCATATGTTGGCGCACCCGGGTGCTCGTTACTGTTGCACTGAGCATGGCCATATAGAGGCTCTACGTTACTTTTAAGTCTCATCTGGAAACAGAGGCATGAGGGGAGGCACGAGACACACTTCTAAGCAGCGATAGCTTCCACCTCAAGCAGCCAGTTATCCTCACATAATTATACCCCCCCCAACATTATTTACTCACATTTTTATTCATTTATCCATTTTTTTTTTATTTTCACATACAACCCGCCGCACGTGCATGGACCAAGGTCCCTGGAATCCATGAGAGGACACAGTCAGGGATCTTCACGTAGGGCCCTATCCCTTAGGCCCCCTTATGCTCGGGGGCACACCCCCCCCCCCCTTTTTTTATTATTTTACTTTACCTGGCTCACAGAACTTAACTATCACACGAGCTACTTAAGCCCTGTACCCGCTCTCCCACATATACATGGCTCAATGTACAGAGCTGTAATCCAACATATCGAGTTAGTCCTTCGTGTCACTTTTTTTTTTTCACTCTGCAATACACCGAATAATGGTTAACATGTACGACTTCTTCCGCTGTAGCGAATATGCTCCTGTAATGTTGTCCACTCCTCTTAAATTTCAATAAGTGCACTGTTTATGTTTTCTGAGTAAAGAATGCAACAAACGCCCATTACTCAATCTCATGCAAAAGCTAAACCTAGCCTGTATAACCCAGCTTGCTTTACATCATAAAAAGCTTGATCATTAATTGTATGTTTAATCCTCGCATGTCGATCTACAATAGGCACCTATCTCTTGTTAACAACCTGACAACCTATCTCTTGTTAACAACCAGCCTGTTCACTGTATATTTTAAAAATGTGCAGAATTATCGCATGCCATGTACAGAGTCAACTGTTTGTATTACCAGGCTTGTCGTTGCTGTCGTGGCAATACAAGTTAAAATTTATTTTATTAAATGCACAACAAAAATAAAGTATTACAAAAAGAAAACAGAAATGATACTGAATAGGTTGTGCCTCCAAAATATGAAGCAGGACAGATTGGTCATAAAAAATGCAGGGTCAACTCATGTCCAGCTGTATCTTGAACAGGCATTGGACATGACACATTGCTTGCTGACAGTAAAGATGGACTTTATATTTAATCTATTTTATGTATGCCTTTCTGAAGAGTTATGTTCCTCCCATAGGGACCATATTCTTTGATAAATGCACAGATGTAAATATTTTTATCCAAACAGAGTTCTTTGGTAATGCCATTAGTAAATTACTGCACAAGTCTGTTCACGTCTACCTAAAAATGAAGACTACCTTAACATATTACCCTGCCTTTTGAAAGCATCACTATGAATACTATAATTATTTATAAAGGAGCAACATACACTAATCAGCCATTAAACCACATGACAGTTGAAGTGAATAATATTGATTATTTTGTTACAATAGCACCTGTCAAAGGGTGGGATATATTAGGCTGCAAGTGAACAGTCAGTTCTTAAATTTCATGTTTTGGAAGCAGGAAAAATAGGCAAGCAAAGAGATCTGAGTGACATGGGCCAAATAGTGATGGGTAGACAACTGGGTCAGAGCATCTCCAAAATGGCAAGTCTTGTGGGGTGTTCCTGGTATGCAGCGATTAGTACTTACCAAAACTAGTGAACCAGAGTCAGGGTTATGGACACCCAAGAGTCATTGATACACATGGGGAGTAAAGGCTAGCCTGTCTGGTCTGATCACACAGAAGAGTTACTGTAGCTCAAATTGCTGAAAAACTTAATGCAGGCCATGATAGAATAGTATCATAACAAACAGTGCACCGCAGTTGGCTGTGTATGGAGCTGTGTAGTGGTAGACCAGTCAGAGTGCCTTTCAACTGAAGAAAGCACTTTCAATGGGTATGTGAACATCAGAACTGGACCATAGAGCAATGGAAGAAGGTTGCCTGGTCTGAAGAAAGCAGGCCAGCGGAGGCAATGTTATGCTCTGGGCAACATTCTTCTGGGAAACCTTGAGTCCTGGCATTCTTTTGGATGTTGCTTTGACACATACCACCTACTTAGATATTATTGCAAACCATGTACACTCCTTCATGGCAATGGTGTTCCCTGGTGGCAGATGCATTTTTCATCAGGATAACTGCAAGAATTGTTCAGGAATGGCTTGAGAAACATGACAAAGAGTTCAAGGTGTTTCCTTGGCCTCCAAATTCCCCAGATCTGTTATAACATCTGTGGGTTGTGCTGGAACAAAAAAACAGATCCATGGAAGCCCCACCTCACAACTTACAGACTTAATGGATGCTAATGTCTAGATGCCATATTCCACAATACACATTCAGAGGTCTTATGGAGTCCATGTTTCAATGCATCAGAGCTGTTTTGACATCACAAGGGGGATCTACATGAAATTAGGCATTTGATTTTAATGTTGTGGCTGACCAGTGTATACCTTTGCACTGTACAATGGGCCAACATGCTATCAAAATAACTGCAACAGAAGTATTTTCACATACACAGATAAGGGTAATGAGGGCCAGATTGAAAAGCACTTAAAGCCAAAAAGAGTTAGGTTTTAATTATAAGCAAGGTAAAAGTGCATTGGATTTCACACGATTGCTAACTGGATTAACAATGTAAGCAGAGTTAGTAACGACAATGGGAAAGGGAACAAAAATCGGGTCTTGGCCCTTAGGTTCATTAGCCTTGAAACCAAACTGAAAATATTTTAGGCGAGTTTGCAATATCAGTGTATTATATGCATCAAACAATTCACAGTGATATACTGAAGCAATAGGACCATCTATATTCAACAAGACAAGGATCTGCCCTGGGTTAATGCCACCAGATCCCATCTGAGATGAACAGTGGAGCAGACTGTGAGGCAGATCACCAAGTAGGTTGTCAAACTAAAATTGGAGTCACTGACCCTCTATGGACAAGATGGATTGGTGTCCTATTGTTTTATAATATTTTCATAAATTACTACACTATATAGAAATTATTTTTATTTTGGAATTATTATTTCCATATCTCTTAGGTATATTTACTTCTACCCATTATTTTGTTTTGTATAATGTACAATGTTGCCCTCAACAGCAAGAATTTTACAAAATGCCACGTCCATTTGAAAAAAACATATATAGCTATGTAAAGTTTAATGTTTATAGCCTGTTGAAAATGATCTGAAGATCAGAATTGATCTTTTATGTGGCTCTTTATTCCTTACAGTTCATCTGGCACAAATGGAACAAGACAGGGATCATCCATATATAGGAATTTTTTAATATATATTATATATACCCCAACATTAAACAATTCATTACACTCGTCTGATGTTGTGCTATGAATGCATGATATACATCTCATAGGGACCCTCGCTAACAGTTCACAGCAGTAATTATTCACACTACTTCACTAAATTGTGACATGGACCATCCCCCAGAATATCAGTTTGCATCCCTCTAATAATATGTATATTTTATTTGATGGCAATGCACTGCTTTTCAAAATGTGTAGATAGTGAACTACTGCTTTTAAAGTGCAATATTAGCAAGCAGGCATAATAAGATGTTGATTGATAATATCACAAAGGTATAAGCTGATGAGTTTAAAAAAAAAAAAAGAAAAGAACGATCAAATGTTCCACGAGTGTCCTCCACACCAAATAAAACTATATTCTTCTACCAATTTAATACATTATGAAGGCTCAAAATTAAAGTATTATGTTGCAAGTCAAGCATTAATGTTTTGGTCACTGAAAATGCATTCACTACGAATGGAGCAGGCAGTAGCATCTGTTAAATTAAAATTTGCCGTCGCCACTTGCAATTGACAATTCCTAGCATACGAGGTCTTGAGGATTCTACATTTGTATCCTTTACTGTTATACCGGTGACATAACAACAAAAACTAAAGAAGTCAGAACACATAAAATGGAAATTGCTGCTTAATTATACATTTGCAAGCAATCTGGCAAGCACAATAGAACAAATAACAAATGATCTGTCCTTGCCACCAATAGCAACTATAAAGTGTTATTACTGGCAAGATCGCTGTCACTTATCAGCCAGTAGTCAATATCAATCGCATCCATAGACATCCATCTGACAGCATGGTAAGCCACAGATACCACATTAGTTAGTTTTTCACATATAGCTTCTCTATTTTAGTTTTGTTTTGTTAAATAATATGCCATGTTGTTGTTCATTTCAGGTTGTATTTACCTCATTTAAGCTAAAGAACAGATAATTGTTACGTCCTGATATGTAAAACCATAGAATTCAACAAGGATGTACTTTCTTTTATCCATGACTGTATGTGTGTGTGGCAAACTGACTAATGAAAGCCTGTCATGTCAGTCCCAATCAGGACAGAGTACTTCTGAAACTATTTGAGCATGGTCTGATGCCCTAAATTCACTCAGTGTGAGTGTGCCTAATGTTGCACTCACACTGTCCTGTAGGGGATAGCTCTTAACCCCTTAAGGACCAAACTTCTGGAATAAAAGGGAATCATGACATGTCACACATGTCATGTGTCCTTAAGGGGTTAAATGACCACTAAAGTGCCAGGAAAACAAACTCGTTTTCCTGGCACTATAGGGTCTTTGGGTCCCCCCCCTCACCCTCAGGGTCCCACTCCCGTCGGCCTGAAGGGGGAGGAAGGGCTTAAACACTCACCTTTCTCCAGCGCCGAGCGCTGAGGCCTCTCCTCCCTCTTCCGATGTCATCCGCCGAATGCGCATGCGCGGTAAGAGCGGTAAGAGCCATGCTCGCATTCAAACAGTCCATAGGAAAGCATTACTCAATGCATTCCTATGGATATCAGCGTCTTCTCACTGTGATTTTCACAGTGAGAAGCGCCTCTAGCGGCTGTCAATGAGACAGCCACTAGAGGGTGGACTAACCCTATTGGAAACATAGCAGTTTATCTGAAACTGCTATGTTTACAGCTGCAGGGTTAACCCTAGATGGACCTGGCACCCAGACCACTTCATTGAGCTGAAGTGGTCTGGTTGCCTATAGTGGTCCTTTAAGTCTTCTCAGATTCAGGACAGCAGGGAACTAAAACTAGACAGTAGAACACAAGCCCTAATTCAGGATGGCCCCATCAAACATAGGGTGGTTGAAAGGTATGTGTAAGATTAGCTATATTAAACAATCTTGAAGAAAAATGTGGAAGTACTGAAAACATACATAAAACTCACTGTAATTAGCTATTAAATGTATCACCTTTAAACTACATTCCTGCATTTTATAATCTTCCTTATTTCCCTGGAAACATTTAAACGATACACTGTGCAATATAATTTACTGGAAGAGAGTGAGCCCAGTGGGAGTATGGAATAGAATGTGGAATGTGGAACTGTGATTCAGTAGAAATATTAGAATGATCTATGTAGGTGGGATATACTTCAATGTTATTAAACTCTTGTTAGAGTTTGCACATTATGTCATGTCTTAATATTGTTTTACTACACAAATGTACTTCCAAAGCTCTCATCACTTTTAATTTCATGCACATAGGTGGCCTGATGCATTGATGGTTTTACAAGTTTTCACTTTACGATGTAAAAAAAAAAAAATAAACAACTTTTTATAGACACATTTTGTAGTATGTTTATCGTATGTATTCTGTATATCTTTCTGTCTATCAAAATAGAATAAAATTATTCAATTCAACTATTATTTATGCTCTGTATACTATATGGGTGATGATATTAATTCTTAAGCCCATAAAATTAGAAGAGAGATATAATAGTAAATTTTGTATTCATTGAAAATTGTAAATGACAGGA